AATTAATTCTGGGGTTGTTATAAGTAAAATATTTAAATGTAAATACAGAACAGATTTTTGGACTCTGTGGGAGAAGGTGAGGGCAGGATGCTTTGAGAGAACAGCATCAAAAAAAATAAATAATGTTAGGTTTTAATTAAAACTTTTCAATTTTTCTTTTTTTTTTCTACTTTTCTTTTTTTTAAATAACACTGTGCAGCTTGTGAGATATTAGTTCCCTGACCAAGGATTGAACCCAGGCCCAGAGCAGTGGAAGCACAGAATCCTGACCACTGGATTGCAGGGAATTCCTTTTTTTCATTTTTTAAAAGCTGCTTTAATGTTCTGGAAAAATATGACTTGTTAAGAAAATACATGCACATATAGGAGCACACATTTTTCTTTTGCTGTAGGATCTTATATGGGTTGTTTCTCAGTAGATGCATGTTCTCAGTAGACGCACGTCAGCTAAGCAGCTTTATGAGTCATCCCTTCCCAACAGGCCTCCAGACTTTTCACAACCTGAACTACTTTCATCTAAATGAGTAAGAGGAACCTCCATACTCTCCCCATGGTGGCTGCAACAATTTACATTCCCCCCAACAATGTATGAGGATTCTTTTCTCCACATTCTCACCAACACTTGCTATTTCTTGCCTTTTTGATAACAGCCATTCTAACAGGCATGATATGATATTTCACGGTGGTTTTGATTTGCATTACCCTGTGATTAGTGCTGCTGAGCATTCTTTCATGTGTCTGTTGGCCATCTATATGTCTTCTTGGGAATAATGTCTTTTCAGCTCCTCTGCCCATTTTAAAATTGGGTATGTGTTTTTGCTGTTGTCACTGCTGAGTTGTATGATTTCTTTATGGATTTTGGATATTAGCACCATACTGGATATATGATTTACAAATATCTTCTCCTATTTGATAGGTTGTCTTTTCATTCTGTTGATGGTTTCCTTTGTTGTGCAGAAACTTTTTAGATAGACACATTCCACTTGTTTATGATCCAGTTCTCCCACTTCTGCGTATTTATCCAAAGAATCTGAAAACACTAGTTCAAAAAGATATATGTATCCCTATGTTCATCACAGCATTATTTACAATAGGCAAGAGATTAAAAACAACCTAAATTCCCATCAATGGATGAATGGATAAAGAAGATATGGTGTATACACATATATATAGATAGATATATACACACACACACACACAATGGAAAAAGATGAAATCTTGCCATTTGCAATAACATGGCTATACCTTGAGGTTATTATGTTAAGTGAAATAAGTCAAACAGAGAAAGAAAATAACCTATGATTTCACTTCTATTTGGAATATAAAAACAAACAAAAAATAAAATAAATAAACAAACCAAACACAAAGATATAGAGAATGGATTCCCTAGTGGCTCAGATGGTAAAGAACCTGCCTGCGATGCGGAAGACCTGGGTGTGATCCCTGGGTCAGGAAGGTCCCCTGGGGAAGGAAATGGCAACCCACTCCAGTATTCTTGCCTAGAAATTCCAAGGACAGAGGAGCCTGGTGGGCTACAGTTCATGGGGTCGCATGAAAACAACTGAGTGACTAACACTAGGCTACCAGAGGGTAAAGGGTTGGGGGAAGCGGGAGGACAAAATAGGTAAAGGGGATCAACTGTGTGGTGACAGATGGAAATGAAATGCTTGGTGGTGAGCATGCTGAAAGGTTCAGAGGTAGAAATATGCTGTACTCATGAGCTTATGTAATGTTATAAACCAATGTCACCTCAATAAAAAACACATTTAAAAATAAATATTAAAAAGGGAAAAGAGGGCTTCCCTGGTGGTTCAATGGTAAAGAATCCAGCTATCAAAGCAAGACACATGGGTTCAGTCCTTGGGTCAGGAAAATTCCACATGCAACTAAGAGCAACTAAGCCTATGGGCTACAACTGCTGTCTGTGCTCTAGAGCCTATGGGCTACAACTGCTCTGGGCAGAGCAATTAAGCCTATGGGCTACTAGGGATCAAACCTGGGTCTCCTGAGTTGCAGGCGGATTCTTTACGGTCTGAGCCACCAGGGAAGCCACGATAGTTGTAACGTATTGATTGGACCTACTGTGCTATGGGGGGGCTAAGAGCACCTAAGCCCATGGGCTACAACTGCTGAGTCTGCGCTCTAGAGCCCGGGGGCCACAGCTGCTGAGCCCACGTGCGGCGACTACTGAAGCCCACAGGCCCAGAGTCCGTGGTCCGCAACACGAGAAGCCAGTGCACCACCACTGGAGAGTGGCCCCTGCTTGCTGCAAATAGAGAAAAGCCTGTGATGCAAACAAGACTCGGCACACCCAAAAATAAATAAGATAAATACAATTTTTTAAAAAGATAAAGATGTCAGACGTGAGGGTCGCAGGAGCCTGGTGAGGGAGATGGTCTTGATTGGGACACCTTTCAATGATTTTACTACTTTGATCATTCGTTTTCCGTTTTCAGGAAGCGATTTTTTTCCCCCTAATATTTATTTATTTATGTGGCTATATCGGGTCTTTGTTGCAGCATGCAAACTCTCAGCTGTGGCATGTGGTATCTGGTTCCTGGAGCAGGCATCAGACCTAGGACCCCTTCACTGGGAGTGTGGGGTCTCAGCCACTGGACCACCAGTGAAGTCCCCAGGAAGGAATCTTAAAAAAGAAATCTTGAGAGAAAAAAACAGACCAAGAAGAGGAGGAGCCTGGCAAAAGAGGAAGGGCTTTCTTATTACGCAGGCGTCAGACATTAACACAGGCAGCGCCGGCAACCCACACGCTTGCTCACTTTGCTTTCACTTCTGCCATCATCCACTCCTCCCATTCTGACCCAGAGGAATGGGTACCTCCCAAGATGACATGTGCCACAACCCCTCACAGGGTGCTGAGCTGAGCCAGGCCTCTGACTACATGGCCCCAGTGGCCAGTGCCATGCTTCCTGGGGGTGGTGTACAAACTTGACACTTGGTGAGGAGTTAAAACTGAGGGTGGATGTTAGGAGACAACCCTGGTGTCACAGAGAAGCATTGGACCAGAGGCTGAGATTTTCAGGCTCCTGCTTCTGGCCCTTTCACTGGACTAGCTGTTGAGTGGCTGGTCCAGTTCCCTTCCCTCTCTGAGCCCCAGGCTTTTCATCTGTCTAATGAGACCTGGGTTCAATTCCTGGGTCGGGAAGATCCCCTGGAGAAGGAAATGGCAACCCACTCCAGTATTCTTGCCTGGAGAATCCCATGGACAGAGGAGCCTGCCATGGGGCCGCAAGAGTTGGACACGACTTAGTGACTAAACCACCAATGAGACCTCTGAGGACCCCTACAGCTTTGAATCTAGAAAGTAGAACTCAATATAATATTTGGTGCCTTTGATAGGCAGTCAACACAAGTGGTTAAAAGCAAGCCCTCTCTTTAGAGAATACATAAATTATGGATAAAATTTTCCTTTGAGTGAACATAAAACTTGGAAAAGCATTTCCAAGGACTCCCAACTATATGTGGAAAATAGACCACAGGCAACCGTCTTTTCACAGTGTGGTTGGTGGTCAAGAGGCCTCAGGGGCCACACTGCCTGGGTTTGAATCCTGGTCTGACTGACCTCAGACAAGTGCACGTCAGTTGTCTCATTTCTGAAACAAGGAAAGTTCTAGGACCTGCTTGTCCCTTGGAGAGGACTACCAGTGGAGACAGAGTTTCTGGGAAGAGGGGCCAAGATGCAGAGATGGGTGTGACTAAAACCTAAGGCTGAAGGCTGAGGCTGTAGGGTAGACAGCTGATGGTGGAAAGGAGGTTCCAGTGGCTTTGCAAGAGGACACCCCCAGGAGGAGGACAGGGGTGGGAAGCGTGAGGCAGTGTGGAAATGGGAGTGCGGAAGAAGGCAGATGACTGGGGGACGTGTACATGGGGCAGAGCCTGGCTGAAGAGGGAGAAGGGAGAGACACAATGGGACAACCTGTCTCAAGATTCCAAATTAAACTCTGCTTTAAGGGGCTCTCATAGATTCACTTCAGCTAGTGTCTGAAGCTAGTTCTTTGCTCGAACTTCCAAACAGGAAGTTGTCTTTTGACGTGGTAACTTTGGGTTCCGGGTAGAGAAACATAGCCAGAGTCCTGAGAGGAAGAAGTTCCATATATAGACTTTCAGCCTCCAAAGAGCTGAGCCCAGACTGAGAAGCTGATGGGGAAGTCCTGCTTCAGGATAGGAGGCTAGTCCCCTTCCTATTCTTTTTTTTTTTTTTTTGGCCAGCCACTAGGCTTGAGGGATCTTATTTCCCCAACCAGGGCTCAAACCCATGCCCCGTGAAGTGGAAGCTGAGTCTTAATTGCGTCGTGTCTTGATTAAAGCTCAGAGTCTTCCCATCAGGGAAGTTGCAGTCCCGTAGTTTTTTCTGTAATGACAGTTTTATTAGGACATAATCCACAAACTGTACAATCCACCTATTTAAGGTATGCAGTTCAATAATGTTAGTCTCTTCAGAGTTAGGCAATCAGTTCTAGAAGGTTTTCATCATCCCCCCAAAGAAACCTTGTATTCATGAGCAATCACTCCCTCCCCATACCCAACATTCTCTTCCCAGCCCTATTTCGAAATTTTGTATAATTGTATAACATGTGATCTATTTTTAAAAACTGGGGTATGTGCATGCTCAGTTGTGTCTGACTCTTTGCGACCCCATGGATTGTAGCCTGCCAGGCTCCTCTGTCCATGGAATTTTCCAGGCCAGAATACTGGAGTGGGTTGCCATTTCCCTGTCCAGTATATTTGCTTTATAATGTTGTTAGCTTCTCCTGTACAAAGAAGTGAGTCAGCTGTATGTATACATATATCCCCTCCCTCTGGGGTCTCCCTCCCACCACCCAGTTCCACCCCTCTAGGTCATCACAGAGCACTGAGCTGGGCTCTCCACCGTACCGCGGGTCCCCACTAGCTATTTCACACATGGCGATGCACACTGGCTTCTTGCACTTAATGTATTTTTAAGGTTCATCCACTTTGTAGCATGAATCAGAACTTCAGTATTTTGAGTTTTGAAAAACATTGTTTAATGTTATACAAACACACCACAGGTATACTCTGTTGTAAATATTATGTGGGTCAAGAAATAACAATGTTAACTCCCCTAAAGCCCTCATACCCCTTCACAGTCAGTATTCCCTCCCCATCCTGCCCACCACTTAGAGTAAGAATGACCTTTTCTTTACCATATATCATCAAACATTTGCATTACTAAAGACCTTTATTAATTTTTATATTATTATTCCATTGTATGGATAGACCACATTTTATTGATCTGTTCACCCATGTATATGTATTTGGAGAATTTGCATTGTTTGGCTGCTGTGAATAATGACCTATGAACACCCATGTGCAAGTTTTTGTCTGGACGTATGTGTTTTTTTTCTTGGGTGTATACCAATGGGTGGGATTGCTGGGTCTTATGGTTACCGCCTTCTTCCTTTGCATACATTTCCATTCTAGGACGGGGTATATATCCCACAAGTGATCACAGTGACCTGCCCTGTCACACTATGAGCTTCCTTCATTGAATACCCCGCTGAACCTAGTACCTGTGTGTGTGTATCTGTGTGTATGTGTGTGTACAAAGTTACACCGTCACGTCTGACTCTCTGCAACCTCAGCGGCTGCAGCTCACCAGGTTCCTCTGTCCATGGGATTCTCCAGGCAAGAATACTGAAGTGGGTTGCTAAGCCCTCCTCCAGGGGATCTTCCTGACCCAGAGACTGAACCTGTGTCTCCGCATTTCCTGTATTTCAGGCGGATTCTTTACCACTGAGTCATCAGGGAAGACCAACCTAGCACCTAGAAAGCACTAAAATATGTAAGGGGCCCTCCACCACTTCAGATGGTGCTCACAGGCAGAATAAGAAGAGGTCGGTGAACTGACCATGCGATCTTACAAGAGGGCCTGGCAAGCTTGATCTCAGCAAGATCTTGGTAAGCTTGGCGAGAAGTTGGGGTGAAAGCCTGACTGACCAGTGTTCAAGGAAGAATGGGGAGGGAAGAGTCAGAAAAAGAAAGTACAGATCATTCTTTTGAGGAACTTTTCGTAAAAGAGAGCAGAAAAGTGAGACGAGAGCTGGATGGGAAAGTATAGTCAAGAGTATTTTGTTTTTTCTTAAAGATATGAGAAATGACAGTATGTATGCTGCCATAGAAAGGTACGAGCTGATGATGGGAGAGAGGGGTGGACAAAGACAAGAGTGATGTCCTTATGTAGATGCAGGGAGATGGGACCCCGTGCAGAAGCAGTGTGAATGATCCATCCCCTGAAAGTCACGTTGAAACCCTAACTCCTGCGGTGACTGTATTTGGCGGTAAGGCCTGGGAGGAGGGGATACAGGTTAAATGAGGTCATAAGGGGAGGCCTCCAGTCCAACAGAGCTGGTGCCCTTAGAGAAACAGATCCTGGAGCTCTTCTCTGTGCCAAGTGGGGACAGAGCCAGACAGGAAGAGACCTCACCAGGAACCACACTGGCCAGCATCTGATCTGGGGCTTAGCCTCTATAACTGGGACAAATGCACTTCTGTTTTTAAAGTCACCCAGTCTATGGTATTCTTTTATGGCAGCCCAAGCAGACTAAGACAAGTGGAGAGACTGGCTTTCGGAGGAGTGAGAAGAGTTCACCCACAGTGACAGGAGGGGAGGCAAGGCACATGGGTGCTGACGCAGCTGGGTGTGAGGTGTGGAAGGGTGGGGACTGGGAAGAGAGGTCTCCTCAGTGCTTTTCTTCAGTGATACAGGAAGCACGGTGAGAAGTTGAGAATGAGGACACAGTGTTATGGGTCTAAGAAGAGCAACGAGGAAGCAGTGAATGGACCAGCATGATCCAACGAGGACATCTGAGAAACACTGGGAATCCCTTTGAGGTGTACAGTCATTTGAAGTGAAACTCATCAGCCAGGTAGTATGTTTTTCTCCAGGATGTTCAGCAGTTTGAATGGAAGGAAGGGAAATAGTACAAGTGACTATAACCACAGCTGGGGTTTGGCCTAGTATAGGGGTAAAGAGTGAGGGTGGAGTTGCACTGATGATCACTGGAGACCCCAAAGAGTGAGGAGAAGGAGGACTCAGAGGGGATGACGGGCAGGGAAGAGGCAGGGTGGCCAGCTTGCAGGTCCTGGCTGGACTGCTGGAGTTTTGGATTAGGGCCCCTTGGGGGCGTGGTGTGGAAGACAGTGAGCAAAGGGGGCATGCTATTGCTAGTGAGGGGCTGCTAAGTGCTAAGATAGTGAGGAGCTGTGATATTGCTAATGAAAAGGCCAGGAGTGGGGCCCAGGCAGTGCTGGGAGAGGAAGCTGAGATCCCTGGGGGAGACCATGCCAGGGTATTGAAAGTTGCAGGTTGTGAAAACACTCCAGTTCTGAAAGGGGCAGTGTTGAGAGTGGTTTCCACCTGGTGTTAAAAATCTTCATGGCATGAGGAATAACAAAGATAACTCGGAAAAGGGCTATTGGGTGCTATGGGTCTGCTGGCGTGAGCATCAGAGCTGGAGAAGGAGCAACGGTCTGGAAGCAGAGCTGAGCCAGGAGGATGCCCCGCCTCCCCCTGAGCCCACTGTACAAGGCGCACAAGAGAGGACAGCTTGTCCTTGAGATGGCTGCCAGGGTTCACAAGAACAGAAAGGGGACGTGAACATCCATTAAAGAGGATACAAGGGATTTTACTGGTGATAGATGGGGTCAGAAAAGGCCAGGGAGACCATGTGGGGACCAAAGTCTGGAAGATAAAGGAAATTCTAGGAGCTGCTTCATCATATATATACATACTTACATTATTTACAGATTCACATCTCTAGAAAAATACAATTTACAATAAACAATTAAGGAACAAGATAGTATCTAGTTTTGTTCAGTGTAGACACTAATGCCTGTTGTGTGTTAGTCCTTGTCTCTTCTAGGAAATATTGCTTCTTATAAATGGTCAATTTCAGGCAGAATTTCAAAGTTTCCTCAAGGAGAAGGTAATACATGAATGGTGCATCGGATGCCTTCCCGAAGCAATTGAAATAACTTAATTGCCACGTGTTCCATTTCATCTTCTGTTACCACACAACAGGCACTATAAAAGAAATATCTCATATTAGAATAAAACACAATCTGTGCTGCAGTGTATGAGCCTAAATGACCCTCTTATTCTAATGCAGGTAGCCCTTTTGTAACAAACCCATCAGAAGCAAGGGTTCTAGGGAGCAGAGATGGAGGGAGCTTGGTCTTGGGTCCTTATGGGATGGCAGCTGGAGATCTACCAGGAGTGCTATCCTGGCGCACAGCACAAATTCAGAGTCCCAGCTTCTCAGACCAACTCAGTCTTGCTCTTTGTACACTTGTGCTTTTTGCGTTTTGTTTTTCATCTGACATTTACTCTTCTATGTGACACATACAAGGATTTTAACTTTTGCTTTGTTTCTTCAAATATTTTCTAATTATGCTGTCATTTTAAAAGTAACTTCTCTTCGCTACTTTAAGATGGAGTTTTTTTTTATCAGATGTGCAATTCCTGTACTAAATATTACTTGGTTATTATTTTCATTATGATGTTTGCCAAGTGTAGGATGGGAGAGAACTTATTTGACATCTTGCCATGTGCTGAATGGCTTGAGACAGTAGACTTGCTGATAATGTGAGTAGAATAATGACTTTAGTGTAATTACTGAGCCTATGACATGAACTATTTGTTTTATGAAGAATTAGAGCTGACTTTCTTCATGCTGAATTGAATCCTGGTATCTCCAAAAAACAGACCGGAGCTTGTAAGACCCATAGGTAAACTGTCACCCCTTCTAAGAGTCATCTCCTTTGCCACAAGAATATCCTGGCCGTGGTTTTCTTCTTTCAGCTTCTCTTCCTGATTATTCATCTTTGTGGTGATGACAGAACACCCTTGAGTAACTCAGAGGAAATCAACTCAGCTACAGCCCTGCCTGAAAAAGCTCCTTCAAACTGAGAAAAGATCATTTCACGGCTTTTTTTTTGTCTTCCCCATAGTCTGTATTTCCATGGACCAGATCAGACCAGAATTCCAAAAGATTTGCATGACTTTGGTAACAGGAGTTCATAAAAAATTAGTGCTGGACATGAAAAGATGTTCAGGATCATTAGTTATTAGGAAAATACAAATTAAAACCACAACAAATTCTTATTTTATATCTTCTAGTTGGGGAAAGTTAAAATAAAGAAATTTGACAATAAGAAAAAATTAGTGCTGGGATCAGAGGGGTTAGGTAAAGGAAATAGGCATTTTCCTTACTAAAAACCTTGTTGTTGTTTAGTTTCTGAGTCATGTCTGATTCATTTGTGACCCCACAGACTGCAACACGCCAGGCTTCCCTGTCTTTCACTATCTCCTGGAGCTTGCTCAAACTCACATCCATTGATTTGGTGATGCCATCCAACCATCTCATTCTCTGTCACCCTCTTCTTTTCCTGCCCTCAATATTTCCCAGCATCAGGGTCTTTTCCAATGAGTCAGCTCTTCGAATCAAGTGGTCAAAATATTAGAGCTTCAGCATCAATCCTTCCAATGAATATTCAGGGTTGATTTCCTTTAGGATTGACTGGTTTGATCTTCTTGCTGTCTAAGGGATTCTCTAGAGTCTTCTCTAGCACCATAATTTGAAAGCATCAGTGTTCAGCCTTCTTTATGGTCCAACTCTCACATTCGTACATGGCTACTCACAGAGAGGTGACAATTTTGCATTTCTTCCTGGTTATGCTTGTCCCCACCTCCCCCATACCTCCCCCAGCCCTGCCCCTCCACCACATCTGTTAACCCTTTAATAACTGAGTTTAGGGAACCCCCTCTGCTGCCACAGTGGGCTCTTTAAATCTAAAAGGCATTCTTAAATAGGCAAGAAACGTACAAAATACAAAATCTGAACAGCCAACAAAAATATACCAAGAAAAGTAAGTTCCTCTCCCACATACAGCCCTAAGCTACCTATTTATTCCTCAGGATGTTACCCTAAGATGTCAGTTTTCTCTTCCTAGCTCATCATCCCAAGGCAACATTCTTCATGCAAAATTCTCCTGCCACAGAAGCTTCAAATGCCTCCCTACTCCCATATCACTCATTTTAATGCTCTTGACTTCCAAAGATTTTCTTGCAGATATGGTCTCTTTTGCCACCTCTTCAATTTGATGCTAAGCAGGCTGACCTCTTTATCAATAACAATAATATATTTGGTTCCCTGCTATGTCTTCACCTCTGCTGCTTCTCCCAGCTGGAATGCCTTTCCCTCTCTGCTCTTGCTTTGAAGATCTAGCTCACGTTGTACTCCTTTCAAAGTCTTCATGATTATTCTTCTTCCCCTCCCCTTCGCTGGTTGCCCAGCCCTGATCATCCATTCCGGCCCATCACCATGGGCTTCTTGCCTAAGTCTTTGTTTCTTACATCCCCATCCATTCTCCCCAGTGTGACCATAAGTTTCTCAGAGGTAGGAGCCCTAACATACGCTTTGTCTGAATCTTATACAATGTCCAGCCTCACTGGGTACACTGATCTCAAGCCATCGGCTCACACAGCACCTGCCACCTAGTCATCTCTGTAAGAGTGCTTGTTGAAAGAATAAAGGAACAGGTAAAGGATTGAGGCCTGGACTACCCCATCACCTTTCTCAGTGGCCCTGGACAACAGCCCTCCCATGACCAACATCCCCTGTCATGGTTCATGAAGGCCACACCTCAACTGTTACCATCAGGATCTTAGCAGAGGTCCTGCCTGGGCTCTCACCCTCACCTGCCCTCATGAGCACTGCTTCAAGTCTGAACATCCCACCTCTGACCATAACCTCCAGGTCTTCTGCTGCTGCCCCCACACTGCCAGCACACCTGCCTCTCACCTCATCCACGGCCAGTCGATCCCTTTCTTTTTTATTTTTTATTTTTGGTCCATCCCTTTCTACCCTCTCTCCACGGGGCCTCCTGGCCCACCAACCCCTGGTGGCCTCAGTACCCCCGCCCAGCCTACACCCTGCAGCTGGCTGAGCTGTCTTCTAGAATCCCTTGCCCCAGGCCTTCTGCAGTAGCTGACTGGCCAGCTGGCCTGGTCACTGTCCTGGCCAGCAGCTGGAGAGAAAGAAATCTCCCCACGGTACCACTGCTCTCAGGCCCTCGCTGCCACACAGTGATGGCTCCATCACCCTACTCCAAGCACTCACACAGCGGCTTTCATGAAAGCTAGCCAACTTGCTCAGCCAAGCCAAAGGTCTTGACCACCGCCCCCCCACCCCTTTGCCTCCCTGAAGCTCTAATGTATGGCCTCTTCTCTTGGATCCGTAACAGGGTGCCACCTGGCTCTCCTACTGGACTCTTCCACCGCGCCCTCCACTTGAGGGCCTCCAGCTTCTACTTCTTGGTGACCTCAGATGCTCTGGGAATCCGTTACTATCCTGACAAAGATGCTCCCCAACTTGTAACCTTAGCCCCAGCCCCTACAGCTACTTCTCCAATTAGGTGCTGGATATCTCTACGCACGTGATGTGCCTGCATCTCAAACTCGGGCTGCAGTCTGCGCACAGATCCACCGTCCCAAACAAGGGCTCCATCTGACTCCTGCTATATCTGTCAGTGCTGCCAAGGGTTGAAATTCCTGTTGCTTTTGGCTAATTTCTTGAGGAAGAGTCATAACCAAATTAGCTAAAATTTATTGGGCACCATTATGAGCCAGTCCTCCTCCAATGTGGGAGACCTGGATTCGATCCCTGGGTTGGGAAGATCCCCTGGAGAAAGAAGTGGCAGCCCACTCCAGTGTTCTTGCCTGGAAAATCCCATGGACAGAGGAGCCTGCTAGGCTACAGTCCATGGGGTCACAAAGAGTAGAAAACAACTCAGCAACTTCACTTTCACTTTGCTTGTACATATTGTTATTTCTATGCTACTATGACCTAAACTATCATTATTTCTATACTATTGTTATGCCCATTTTCCACAGAAGAAACTTGAGGTGCAGTGGGGTTCATTGACTTGTCTGAGTCCTATGAGAAATGGAGTTGCCACTGAACCCCAGGGAGCCAGGTGCCAGACTGCACTCTGCTGAGACTCTGTTTATACAATATCCACACTTTCTCTGAAATCTATCCCTCTTTCATTTGTGCCACAATCACACCGATACAGCTTCTCTTCTGCTTGGCTAGATTATTTCATTTATCCACTAACCGGTGTCCCCATGTTTCGCCTCTTGTGCCTTTATTCACTGTATGTTTTACCAATACAGACGTCTTCCCAAAGCATGTGAAAGTGAAGTTGCTCAGTCGTGTCCGACTCTTTGTGACCCCATAGATTGTAGCCTATCAGGCTCCTCCATCCATGGGATTTTCCAGGCAAGAGTACTGGAGTGGATTGCCATTGCCTTGTTCAGGATCTTCCTGACCCAGGGAAGATCCCAAAGCCTAACTTTGCTCAAAAATCCTCAATGGTTTCCCAGAAAAAAATCACTGAACCTCTTGGTAGCTCTCTCTCAATATCCTGGCCTGGCTCAACCTCTATCCCATCAACATCTGCTGCCCCAAAAGGGGTGACTCGCCACCCCCAACCCCACCCTTTCCAGCCCTAAGCTTTACTCTTCCTCCTGACCATGGGGATTCTGCCAGGACAGGGACTTGTGGATCTCCTTAAGGCAACTTCCTTCACCCATGGCCACCATTCATTGTGTTTGGATCCTATCTTTTGTTCTTGATGCAGACCCAGCTCTGACCCTGGCTCCTGAAGTAAACCTTATCCTTGGCTCCATTTTCCTGGGATGGAAGAAGAAGGGAGTATATTTTGGTGGTTAACAGGATAACCCATGGAGTCTGAAGACCTAGATTTGAATCCCAGCTCTACCATCTATGAGTCATGTGACTTGACTTCTCTGTCTTCCATTTGATATCTCTAAACAAGCTGTAAAGATATCCCCATGCAAGGCTCAATGAGAGGGTTGAATGAGATGTTACATGGAAAGTGACTGGTTGGTGCTTAATGAACTGTGGTGAGTAATCTGCTGATGTTACTTATTATTGTTCAAGGCAACTAACTGACAGATAAGTAGATCCGGGCTCCCCAGGGAACAGGCCCTCTACATGGGGGTTGTTCTGCTTTTAATATATGATACATAACGTGCCCACTGAGCAGTCTATGGGTTACTCACCTAGCCCGCTGTGTTTCTTTGGCTACGACGTCCCAGAAAACCTACAAATGAAGACATTTTTGTCTCAATTAAAGAGCTGAAAAGAAAAGCTGAAATGTAGGGTTGCTGGCTAGAGGCCTGAACTGGGAAAACTCAAGAACACAGCCCTATCGAGCTGGTCTTCCCTACTCTCCTAAATGCTCACATCAAATTGGCTACTGAGTTGAGCCAAAGAGTTGTTCAAAAATTGGTCATCAGACAATAGAAAAACGAAAACTGTTGATGAATGTTTTTTTCTATAGCAACTTTGCATGAATCTAAAGATGGAGGGAAGGCTAGAATATTCTGGATCAGTGCTGCCCAATGGGGATATAATGTGAGCCACATAAGTAATTATACATGCTTACTAGCCACAGATACAGTAAAAAGAAATGGATGAAATTAATTTTATAAACTAGCCCAACATATCAAAAATATTACTGTAACATATAATGAGTATAAACATTATTAATGAGATACTTTACATTCCTTTTTAAATCAGAAGTCCTACAAATCTAATGTTTATTTTATACTGATGGCTCATCTCAGTTTGGACTCTCATATTTAACAGTTTCAACAGCCATGCGTGGCTACCATTTTGGACAGCACCAGTTTGGATGTTAAGATACCGTCTCACATGTATCCCTCAGTTTCCTGCCCATCAAAGGCACCAGTTAGCCTGGAGTGATGCTAATGATTCAGCAGCTGAGTTCACAAGGTTGAATGAGCTTGTAAAAGCGTCAACTACAACTAGCTGATGGAGGTGTTTACATTCAACTCTCCCCCGTTCTGATGGCTCCATGCCAAATACCTAGTCTTTTCAATTAATGGCTTTAGGATTGAGATGCTTGCTGAAGTAATTATTTGTTACTTTTGGGAGGGGGGATGAATATATGGTGCCATCAGTACTGATCACTGGGGTAAGTTTCCTTCCACTGAATAAAGGTTTGTTTTTGTTTATTTTAATAAGTTAAGTCAGTCAGTTGTTTTGGAGTTATATGGGTACACAGGGCTCTTTTTTTAGGTTCAGGAGTTGTGATGTAGACATCTTACCCCCCCCCAAAAAAAAATATGAGTAGAAAATTAGTTTGGTTTCTGGGTACCAATCTGTTAAAGAGATTATTAACTATATTACTGCTATTTGGGGATTAAAAATAACTTTTTAAAAGAACACTTGAGTTCCCTGATGTTTTACTTATTGGTAATGATGCCTTAAAACCTTCTTTAGCTGATTTTTTTATACCTTGTTTAGAGGAAATTCAGTTGACTGATAGTCGATTACTTAGAGATCTTCATGGTATTTGAAACCTATAATATAGAAATGGTATCTTTGGGAAATCACACTCTAGGGCCAATACCCCAAAATAGACTACGTCAGTACTGGCCTATAATAGAACTTTCTGAAGTGATGGAATTGTTCTCTATTTGGTGTAACATGGTAGCCACTAGCCATCTGTGAGCACTTGAAATGTGGCTAGTACGACTGAGGAACTAAATTTTAAATTTTATTTAATTTTCATTGATTACATTTTATATTTAGATTACTACATGTGGCTAGTACCCACTGTACTGAACAGTGCAGGTCTAGGGAAACTGAAATCTAGTTTGTGAACTTGATTCAAGACATGAGTATGAAATGACATGGATCCAGGATGCCTTCACCTTAAGGAAAGCTTACTCTTCAACAATCCCTATGGGAGCGACAGATTGTAAATTTCCTCTTGGTGAAGGAAACTGTTAGGGCTTCAAGAACCCTTAGTCTGAAATTTACAGACTGGTCAGCATCCTCTGGGACTTAAGGAGGGGTTTCTTGTCACCAGGAAAGAATAGGCTGGGACAGGGTCACCAGGTCTCCAGGGCATATGGGTTGCCTTCTGGACTGGTCCGCGATCTCAGGAGACTGAGGAAGGCAATACAGGTAATAATACCATGCCAGCTTCACCCTCTCCACATCACCTGACTCAATAAAAACTCCTCCTTACCTCGGTCTTGCTTCTGGGCTGTAAGTCATAGGAATTATGACCACAGCAGCCAAGAGTAAGAGTTTTGGGTTTTTCTGCAAAGTCTGGCTTGGAGATCAGAAGTGTAACGTACGTTGAGGCAGACCACAGACAGGAGGCTATGGAATGGTCCCAAGTATTATTGGCTGTGTTTCCATTCCTGTAATGCTCTCTATGGCCCAAGGATTCCTACCACCTCAGGATAACACAGAATCTCAGGGAACCCAACACACTTAGCAACCCCAGCCAACAAGTACAACAAAAAAGGTTTTGTGAAACAACTAAAATGTCAAACTTGGTTTTCATCTTCAAATTAGTCATTTTCTGGCCTTTGAAAAAACAATTCCCATTTGAAAACTTTTTTTTTTAAGGAAAAAAAAGTGTACGTACATTTTAAAAACAGCAAGCCACATATTACTGCTGGGAGTATGGCAAAAAGCACATACCTATGTCTTGAATTATCTGGGAAAAAGAAAGAAATACAATTAGCTGAACTGACCAAAACAGATACAGCTGATCCTCCTTATATGCAGATTTCATATTTGCGATTTACCTATTCGCTAAAATTTATTTGTATTCCTCAAACCAATACCTGCAGAACTTTCATAGTCATATGCTAACACAGGCAACAAAATGTTGAAAACTGTTGTTCCCAACTGAGGTTCAAGGCGAAACTCTGCCCTCGAGTTTTGGCCCTTGTACTGTAGGCACGATCCTATTTACACAATCCTATTTGTGATCTCTTTAGTGCCACGTGTTCTACATTTTGTGCTTTTTTGTTGCTTATTTCACTGTCTAAACTGGCCCTCAAAAACAGTGCTGAAATGCCAGGACCATAATTGATGCTTAAATGAAGCTTATTTAACACGTGTATTCTCTCTATAAGACACACAGCATTTCCCAAGCACAAGCAGGCCGTGTGCATCACAGAGAGAATACACATGTTAGATAAGCTTCGTTTAGGCATCAGGTATGGTCCTGCTGGTTGTGAATTTCACCGTTCATGCAGTAATTACATATATTAAATAATGTGTCTTTAAACAGAAACACACATAAAACAAGGTTCTACACTGATTCCTTTTCAAACATGTGACCAGAGACTTGCAGGAACCTAAGCCTATATCTCCCCTGGGAGTAATGATTCAATATTCACTAATTCTGTGTTCACAGTGACTTAATAAAACATAACTATGTGAAGTGGCTTCCCTGATAGCTCAGTTGGTCAAGAATCCGCCTGCAATGTGGGAGACCCTGGTTCAATTCCTGGGTCGGGAAGATCCCCTGGAGAAGGGATAGGCTACCCACTCCAGTGTTCTTGGTCTTCCCTTGCGGCTCAGCTGGTAAAGAATCCGCCTGTGATGAGAGAGACCTGGGTTCGATCCCTGGGTTGGGAAGATCCCCTGGGAAAGGGAAAGGCTACCCACTCCAATATTCTGGCCTGGAGAATTCCATGGACAGTCCATGGGGTCAAAAAGTGTCGGATATGACTGAGCGACCTTCACTTCATTTTCACTGTGAATAAAGAGAATTGACTGTGTTTCTAAATAAATTTATATGCACAAGGTTGATACATATCAGGTCCAGTGCTTTTTATTAAAAGCAGCAAATATTGCACTTTTTGGCCATCCCATCCTGCCACTGGCAGCACAACTTGGCATCGTGTGCTTGGCAGGGCAATGTGGCAGCCGTGCACAGCAAGCCTTAGAAACGTTTACCATAGAGCATCTGACACTGTGCTAAATGATGTGCCTACAGTCTCACTGAATCACTGCCACAGCGCTGGATTAGTGAGTGATCTAATGTTTCAGAGACTCAGGTTTCTCTTGACCTGATAAACATGCCTCCTAGGTCAATTGTGAGCATTAATTGAATCAATACACGTAAGAACAGTGATTAGTCACTGTGTGCTCAGTTGCTCAGTCACGTCCAACTCTTTGTGACCATATAGACTGCAGTCCACCAGGCTCCTCCGTCCATGGGATTTCCCAGGCAAGAGTACTGGAGTGGGTTGCCATTTCCTTCTCCAGGGGATCTTCCCAACCCAGGGATTGAACCTGAGTCTCCTGCATTGGCAGGTGGATTCTTTAACAGTACATCACCTGGGAAGCCTGTTAGCTACTACCATTAACCTACTGGAATCTCTGCTAATGTCCTTTGATTCTGCAATTCCATCTCTAAGATGCTAACCTACAGACAGAATCAGTGATGTACCTTTCTTCTCCCTCCAAAAAAGGCACAAAGATATTTACTACAGTTTTACAGTATCAAAAAGATAAAACAACCAAAGTGTCCACAACAGAAAATAATGATGGTTCATCAGGTGGACTCTATCCACCTACCAAAAATCTAAGGGCAGAACACAGAGGATATGGCAAAATAATCACCACACATTGCTAAGGGAGAGGTTAGGGTCACTAACAGCAAATACAACATCGATAAGAGACAGGGGAGAGGAGGAGAGGGGAGGGGAGGAAAGGGAAGAGGAGACAGAAAATGAATGAATGAGTGAGAATATGTAATACACCCTTTCCTATTAGTTGGAGCACAGGTGGGTTAGAATGAATAGGCATTGGTTTGATTTGAGAGGTCCCTGGTTAGGAACTGTTAAGTTGTCCCACATACCTATTCTCTCCTCTTTAGTAAAAGAATTCAGATTTGCAGCTGGGCATACTGCCACTCACCTAAAAAATTAGTTTTTCAGCCTTTCTTGTAGCGAGGTTTAACCATGTGACAAGTTTTGGGCAATGAGATGCAAGAAGGGTTGTGTGGTATTTCTCAAAAGTCTCCCTGGAAGGGGTAAGACACATTATTTTTCCCTCCCTGAGTCCCACTCCTGAGACAGCAGGGGAGGTGGCAGGAGCTAGACCATACTTGGGTTTCTGACAACTGCATAAAGCAGCAATGTGCCCAAGGCTGCCTACCTTCAATTATTATTATTACTTTTTTTAGTTGAGAAAAGTTAATCATTTATCCTTGCTTTCAATTAAAGTATAGTTAACTTACAAATATTGTGTTAGTTTCAGGGATATAGCACAGTGAATTAGATACATATATAAAGGCTGAATGCCAAAGAATTGATACTTTTGAATTGTGGTGCTGAGGAAAACACCTGAGAGTCCCTTGGACTGCGAGGAGATCAAACCAGTCAACCTTAAAGGAAACCAATCCTGAATTTTCACTGGAATGACTGTTGCTAAAACAAACTCCAACACTTTGGCCACCTGATGCAAAGAGCCAACTCAGTGGAAAAGACCGATGCTGGGAAAGATTGAAGGCAAAAAGAGAAGGGGGCAAAAGAGGATGAGATGGTTAGATGGCATCACCAACTCAATGGGCATGACTTTGAGCAAACTCTGGGAGGCAGTAAAGGACAGAGGAACCTGGTGTGCTACAGTCCATGGGGTCACAAAGAGTTGGACACGATGTAGCAACTGAACAACAACAAATTTCGTATCAATGAAAGGGATGATATTGTGATAATCTTTTCTCAAGGTATCAACAGGGAAAAGCATCTTACTTGAGCATTCAATTCTAAGGGCAAAGGTTAAATGAAAACTGTGAGAGGGCAAAACGCTTGAAAATCTTAAACTATCCCACATAATTCTATAAATGATTTTATTTAGAAATTATTTCCTTCAATAATAGTAATAATATTTCCTTCAATATTTCAAAGGAAATAGAATTATTTCCTTTGGCCGCCTGATGCGAAGAGCTGACTCATTTGAAAAGACCCTGATGCTGGGAAAGATTGAAGGCAGGAGAAGAAGGGGACAACAGAGGATGAGATGGTTAGATGGCATCACCGACTCAATGGAACTGAGTCTGAGTAAGCTCCAGGAGTTGGTGATGGACAGGGAGGCCTGGCGTGCTGGGGTTCATGGGGTCGCAAAGAGTCGGACGCGACTGAGTGACTGAACTCAACAGATTTCCTTCAAGTACATTGGCTCTTTGAGCACCTGAAGCTTTTCAAGATTTCAACTTGCTTGTTCATTCTGTAGACAGTCAACTTCTGTCTCCTGGCCGGTTGCGTGCACTGCACACATGTCACAGCCAGAAGCGCATTGGTTTTGTTTCTTCTTCTCACTGTAAAGCACACAAGCTGCATTTCCACGCTGTACACCCTGGGTATTACACAAAACCCAATAAGTGGAGGTAATGAAGGAAGGTTTGCTCCCAGTATAAAAACTGTCATTAACTCTGCAAACGTTTTTTTTTTAATATTCTTGGCAATTGTGTTACTTGTATAAAAGCTTCGAAAGACACCTCTGTGGGCTTGGTCTTTTCTCTGTTTTTAGAGACCCAATCTATCAGTTACGAATTGGAAGCCATTTCGTACTTTTTCTGGAAGCATTTGTCTTTTTTTTTTTTTTTACCAGAGAAGTCCCACTGCTTTGTCTGAAAATGATATCATAACCTTAATGGCTTTATGTCATTATTTGAAAAGTTTTTTAAAAGTTCAATATGTGGGAAACGTAGGGAGAATGGCTCAGGAGCCAAATAAAATTCAAGTTTGTTCATATTCACATGTTGGAAGATATTGTTAAAAGGATGTGATTGTAAGTTGACTGGAGAACGGGATCCAGGCCATCAGAGGCCCAGCACAACCACTCCTATGCTTGAAATGTACCTGCTCCGAGCCAGTCCCACCATGCGAACTGTTCCTAAGGATGCAGCCTAGAGAGAGAACTTCAAGAGTTGTGAGATACAGAGAACAGTGTGGAGATTTCTTAAAAAACTAGAAATAGAACTGCCATATGACCCAGCAATCCCACTTCTGGGCATACACACCGAGGAAACCAGATCTGAAAGAGACACGTGCAGCCCAATGTTCATTGCAGCACTGTTTATAATAGCCAGGACATGGAAGCAACCTAGATGCCCATCAGCAGACGAATGGATGAGGAAGCTGTGGTACATATACACCATGGAATATTACTCAGCCATTAAAAAGAATTCATTTGAATCAGTTCTAATGAGATGGATGAAACTGGAGCCCATTATACAGAGCGAAGTAAGCCAGAAAGATAAAGACCAATACAGTATACTAACACATATATATGGAATTTAGAAAGATGGTAACGATAACCCTATATGCAAAACAGAAAAAGAGACACAGATGTATAGAACAGACTTTTGGACTCTGTGGGAGAAGGCGAGTGTGGGATGTTTCGAGAGAACAGCATCAAAACATGTATATCTAGGGTGAAAAGGATCACCAGCCCAGGTTGGATGCATGAGACAAGTGCTCAGGCCTGGTGCACTGGGAAGACCCAGAGGGATAGGGTGGGAGGGAGGTGGAATTGGGATGGGGAATACACGCAAATCCATGGCTGATTCATGTCAATGTATGGCAAAAACCACTACAATATTGTAAAGTAACAGTTGGGAGACCATCAGGATGGTCTATGTAACTGAATCGTGATCTTTACATGAATTCTAAGATTTGGCAGGCAGACACAGAGGTCTATTCCTCTTGAGGTCACCCAAGACAAGCCTCCTAAGTAAGCTTCCATGCTTATTAAACCTGCCACCACTAATCTGGAGTGGCTGCCTCCTTCTTCAGTCTCTCCTTGCCCTTCATATCCAGTGGGCCAATTTACAAACCAACATCATTATATTTATTTTTTGCCTCTTTCTGTTTCATTTGTTTAGAAAAAAAATTATTCACAGAATCACCCTGCCCCAGCCTGAGGAGACTCCCATTCTCTGTCTGCCCTAGAATCCCGTTCATACTTTACAATTGTGGTATTGTCCTGAAATACAGTATTTACTATACATTTCATCTCTCAGGCTTTAATGAACCACTTTCAAATTACTGACCCTTCTGTTTGTAAACTGGAGGTACAGTATAAAAATATAGATAAGGAGAATTGTAAATTACAAATATACATGATACTTAGGCAACATAAAAAGACCATAGCTGAGACGGATTGTCACGCTACTAACCAAGTGTTAGTCTAGACAAGCATATTGAATGCACTTTCTTGTGGCACATGTGCAACCTTGAAGAAAATAATGGTTATGAAGAATATTAGGAAGCAGTGAATAAGTGTGAATAATTAAATAAAAGGCTCTGAAGCCAGATGGCCTGATTTCAAAATCAGGTTCTACCACTTACTGGCTGGTGGCTTTGGACAAGCACCTTAAACTCCAAATGACATCTTGGTTTCCCCGATAAAATAAGGATAATTATTAGATTGTGTGGGAACAGAATTATCATATGTATTAGAATGGTGCTTGACACAAAGTACTAAAAAATACTAGATTTATATCTAAAAAAAAGTGGGACTTCCCTGGTAGTTCAGTGGCTAGGACTCTGTGCTCCCAATGCAGGGGGTCTGGGTTCAATCCCTGTTCAGGGAACTATATTCCACATGCTGCAAGAGTTCGCATACTGCAATTAAAGATTCCATAGGCCTCAAGTAAAGATTCTGTGTTCTGCAATTAAGATTCTGTAGCCAAACAAGCCAAAACAGTTTTTTAAGTATCTGTGAAAATTATAACTCATTTTATGTTTCAAATTTGTGAAGTAAATGTTAGCCACTAATATGTGGTGTGAAATTCATGAATCACCAGTGGTCCGTGAACCCCATTTGTATATAGGACCTCTACCATAACCCATGCAGTCACTTACTCACCCTGTGGTACACAGGTTGACAAAGCGATGGAAGCTGATGTTCTGAATAATGGATTGCTAATGACACAGTGAACACTCTGTGAAAGATCACTTTCCTGTGAGACATAGGCTTCAGCTGAAATTGAGCCACGGTGACACTGTATTGCTGAAGGACATTCCCACGAATACTGTATGAGGTCTGCATCGGTATAGTCGCCAAGTTCCATGATCTCACAGGTGAGAGTAATGTTTCCATTTTCAGTCAAAAAGCAAGATGCTGATGGTGATGGAAGAGGTGCTGGAAAAAAAAGAGATGTTCAGTACAGAAAAGAGTAATATTTAAACTCCTCATCCACAAATTCACAAAGAGCTCCCAACTTCCTTATGAGCTTGAAAAGATAAGCAGACCACTCCTTGAGCACCAAGGGGAGAAAATTCTCTTTTCTTCTGGATCAGATCTACCTGCTCAAGTTCAGTACAGATACGGGCCCTGAATCCCTTATCCTCAATTTTGAAATCCAAAGATGTCTGAAAGCCAAATGATTGTTCACAAATATTTGTTATCATGTTTTACTAAAAATACTTACCTGCTTGAGTATAAGGTGCTCCCCATTAACTAAGTGAAGTGCTTCTTCATACACACAGAGGAGATCATTTATATCACTTTTCTAAAATCTGAAAAAGGCTGAATTCTAAGACATCTGACTCAAATGAGTTTGCTAAAGGTTCTGAGGAGCTGTACTGTGGGCTGGTCCCACTCAGAGGTAGAGCAGGGTGTGGCACATGCCACACACCTGCCAATCTAGAGGCATCACCCCCAGGTTTCTTCTAGAAACACCTGCGACTGGCTAAGGCAGGTGGGCCTTTGAGGATGAGTAAGACACGAGTCATGATGCACCATCATTTCTCTCTAAAGCCTCAAAGCTAATCAGCTGGCCCTATCAATCACTGGCTTACTTATTAATTCATATACCTTCTTGCATCTCTCCTTTCCACCTAAAACCAATCATAAGAGATTTGAGAAAAAAGGTAAAAATATATCAAATATACAGAAATTGGTCATGGACACATTTAGATGATAAAATTTCAATACCTTATAAGTTGCATGTGGATAATAAAATTTCAATACCTTGTAAATACTAAAAAGCAAATTAAAGTTCATCAAGATGATGTGATACTGTACTGCCGCTTAAAATATCTTGTAAGACAAAGGAACCCAAGCTCCAACTAATAATCTAAAAAATAAATATATACAACTCATCTTGCCCTCGTCTTCTCCTCCTGAGTTATTTCTGGCTCAGTTAAATAAAACACCCAGCCTGTCTTGTTAGACCCGAGTCATACATGACTTCCCTTTCTGCTTGGGGCTTCTTCAAGTTTTAGGTTTAATCTAGCTCATATCATTAATTACATGCTGTCTTAAGATTTGTTCTTTTAGTAAAAGCACTCACGCACACACACACCACACATGAGTGTGCATCCACCACAAAGTGCCTGCTGTCAGTAAGCAGGTGACACCTTGTGAGTTGTGGCAGAAACAGGCGTCAGCAAAGTGTGCATTCAAGGGAAAAGGGGTAAGGAAGGTGAGGGGACACTGGGAAGGCCCAGAAGCCGTGCTTCACGATTTGGCCAAGAAGCAGAAATGACAGCTGAACCCAGTGCTGAAGGAGCAACCTAGAGCCTCTTCTAATAATCACTTCAGAATCCCATGGTCTACTGGAAAACCACAGACCATCCTAATCATGATCATTCAAAATCACACTTGCAGTCAGCCTTAAAAGAAAGGAAATTCAGACACATACTACCACAGGGATGAATCTTGAAGGCATTATGCTAAGTGAAATATGCCAGTCATGAAAGAACAAATCTTGTACAATTCCACTTATGGGAGGTTTCTAGAGTAGCCAAATACTTAAAGAGACAGAAAATGGAATGATGGTTACCAGCGAACAGGGAGACAGGAGGGAAAGGGGAATTACTGTTCAGTGGGTACAGAGTTTCACTTTGGAAGATGAAAAGTTCACCATGTTCTGTTACAGATTCTAGTTTATTGATCTAGTTCAGCCAATGTTGGATCTTTCCAGGTGGCACCAGTGGTAAAGAACCCTCCTACCAATGCAGGAGACATAAGATGTAGGTTCAGTCCCTGCGTTGGGAAGATCCTCTGGTGGAGAAAATGGCAACCCATTCCAGTATTCTTGCCTGGAGAATCCCAAGGACAGAGAAGCCTGGTGGGCTATAGTCCGTGGGGTCACAAAGAGTTGGACATGACTGAGTGACTGACTACACTCAGCCAATGTCTCGCTGCCCACAGGACTTACCGCAGCTATCATCTAACAAACATTAGTTACATCTGTCCCTTAAGCAACCAGCAAGAAATGTGACTACTTCATCCCTAGGACAACTCAGTTAATTGATATAGTTAATGAATTAAGAGCTCACTATTCTGTAAGAAATGAGAATTTCTTACACATATCTGATGACATTTCTATTGTAATGTATTACATTTTCATACATACCCCTTAATAAAAAGTCATATACCAATCCATACTTGTTAAGGACAGAGCAGTTAATCCTATATATATGAACATTACCAGTCCCCATGCAATAAAGGCTGTAAGAGGATGGGGAAGAACTATGAAATGTTGATGGTGGCAATTTTAAGGGGACTTTGAAGGAAGGAGGAAAGCTAGATGTTCACCTCTAGAAAAGCACAAAGATGCCCTGAACTGAGGAGGTACCAGGAAATCCCCCTGTCTAAAATATCTTTTCTGAAAGGGTCTGGTGTCTCCGGAAGGCTACTGAGTCTTATTATTTCAGTCTTAACAAACCCTCATGGAAGTATGACTTCCTCATTTCTAAAAAAAAAAAAAAAAAAAAAGTGTGACCAATCATTTTGACATTCAGATATATATTTTTATATCCAAAATCTAAATTTTATTAACTCTAACTTGGAAATACCTTCTGGTTCTTTCCTTTCCAAACATCTGCTACCAACACCTCTGTCTACCAGGATGATCATGATAGCTTCCAACCTAGGGTCTCCTCTTCCTAATCCATCATAAGTTGCTACCATCTGATTAACCTTCCAAAAATACATTTCATTAAGGCACTTCTCTGCTCCAGTATGAGATACAATGGCTCTTGACTGCCATAGGCTAAAATCCAGATTCCCAAACCAGAACTTGAAGTCAACACATTTAATATGGCCAATATTACTCACAGCTTCCTGATTGAAACTCACATGCCCTGCACCTTGCACCTCCCCAGGCCTTTGCTGAGCTTCCTAAGAACTGTCTACTTGGCTTAATTATCAGAATCGAGCACCATTGTTGAGTTAGCAGGCAATTTTTAAATTTTAATTATTAAATTATATTTTTAAACATTTCATGAAGCTTTAAAAAGAGAAACAAATTGTTTTGAGCTCAGTTTTATAAACTCGATAAAGGGGCTCTTAAGAAATTCTGAACCAATCTTTTTGTTTGCCCTCTAAACTGCCAGATCCCCAATTTGCAGGTTTTAAAGATTCTGTTTCTTCAATGGCATCAACTGGTTCTTCTAATGGGATGCCTGCGTGCCTTAACAAGCTTCACTTATCTAAAAGAAGTTCATAATCTCCTGGACAAACCAGTCACCCTGTCTGAGGGCACCCATTTCTATCAATTGTACATCCCACCATCCATATCAATTGCTTCCATACCTGTTGAGTGCCTATTACCTATTCAAGTCCTTTGCTAGGCTCTGAAGTTACAGTGGTGACCAAGAGAGAAATTCTCTCTTCTTCCCAATGTCTCCCAACACTCAGTAGTTGAACTGGTGAGTGACGGCTGTTCATCCAGCCGTTCCAGTCATCACATCCTGTTCCACTGAGGCCACCACAAACAGGAGGTGGAAACTCAGACGTAAACTGCTCTATTGCACTCTCTCTTCTTCACCCCCCCTGGAAACCATCGTGCACACTTTGTCACCAGCTGGATCTTCCTAAGACAGCCTTTAACCTAGAGGAAGTAGGTCTAGAACTATACTCACACCTCGGATAAAATGAGTGAAATTGTGATGCATCAGAGGGGAGAGATGGGAATGGGTTGAGCTGTGCTATGCTGCAGCACAGAAAAGGCAGCTATGAGACAAAAGCATTACTAGGATATTTGAGAACAGCAAGGGAAGACGAATGTTAGCTGAACCTACTGTGATAATCATTTCACAATACATGTAAATCAAACCACCATGCTATATGCCTTAAACTTGTACAGTGATGAATGTCAACTATTTCTCAATAAAACTGGAGGAAAAAAACAAACATGTAGGTGGAGCCATCAGCCTCTGGAAGCCTGTAACAAGGCAAGTGCTTTAGAGGTGAGGGAAAGAGCGTAACCAGGAAGCATTAGTGAGAAGCACAGAGGAACCTGAATCCTATCCCCAGTTCCAGCTTAAAGTGATAAGAGGAGGGAAAATAAAATCCCACCACCTGTGTGGGGTGCAGGAGGAAGCAGGAACTCCAATTCACAGGTGTTCAAAGGGTTCTGAGTTCATATCGCCACTACACCCTTTTTCAGAACATTCCCAGCAAGACAAGTGATGCTGTGGCCAACTTGGGCTGTTCTCTCGACCTCAGTCACATCCTCTCTTCACTGAGAGGATGACAGGGAGCTAAAAGTGGCTCCTGGGTACCAGAAAGAGAGAAAAACCCTGACAACAGGTGATATAACTCATTGTTTTATTTCCCAAAAACCACAAGTTAATATTAGTCTCTTAAAATACTTGGAAATTTGCTATTTGAACAAACAAATTTATGGATACTCACCAATCACTCTGAGGGAGAACATGGAGATATCTTTAACACTTGGGGATTCAATTTCATATTCACCTTCATCTGATTTTGTTAACTTGGTGATGGTCAGGTTACCTGACACAATGTCTAAATAAGCTCTATTTTGAAAAGACTGAAAAGCTTCAGGTTCAGAGTGTTCAACCCATTCTATAACTTTATTCTTCCCCTTTTTCCATGTAATTTCTGTAAATGGTTGAAACTTTGAAGCATAAAAGGTTACATTCCCATCCATAGCTCCATAAATATCTTGGGGCAGACAGCTGATGAAATCTAAGAGAGAAAAAAAAAGAAATTGATTAGGAAAAATAATATGACTTGATCAAAAATAGGAAACTATCTTCCAAGATGCCTTTTTGAGAGGAAAATGATTAAGTTTAGTGGTAAAAATTATTTATTAACTACTTTTTATACTAAGCTGATAAACTGCTGATAAAAATTACAGGAAGTAGAACATGCTTAACCCTGTAGAGTTTATTCTTTAATAGGAAACGGGGTGGGGGGCTCTTTGGTCTAGTGGGTGAGAATCCACCCAGCAATGCAAGGGTTCGATCAGGTTCGATCTCTGGTCCGAGAAGATTCCTACATGGTGCAGGGCAGCTAAGCCCATGCGAGGCAACTATTAAGCCCATTTGCCTAGAGCCTGTGCTCCACAGCAAGACAAGTCACCACAATGAGCCTGCACATTGCAACGAAGAGCAGCTCTTGCACACCACACTAGAGAAAGCTGGCGCCCAGCCATGAAAACCCAGCATAAGCAAAAGTAAAATAAATAAATTAAATAAATTTGAAAAAAAAATAGGGAACTGGGGTCTACCTAAATCCAAGAAATGGATTCAACACTTATGGAGCACCATAGGTGGCTCAGCTGGTAAATAATCCACCTGCAATGCAGAAGACCTGGGTTCAATTCCTGGGTTGGAAAGATCCTCGGAGAAGGGAAAGGCTACCCACTCCAGTATTCTGGCCTGGAGAATTCCATGGAATGTGTAATCCACAGGGTCGCAAAGAGTCAGACACGACTGAGCAACTTTAAGTTTCACATCAACTACATACCAGGCACTGTGGGCCATGCTGGGAAAAGGGTGGCAAACAAGACAGTTATCGCTCCAGGCTCTCAAGGGAGAAAGAGACACTGAGTGGGCAAGGAGAACCACCCAGTCAGGGGCCTTTCCTAGGAGATCATGCTGACCTGACACAGGATCAAAAAGCACTGGCAGATAAGAGGAGTCAGGGAGATAAGAGGAGGGGCAGGAGAGATGATCCAGCAGACGGGAGTCAGGGCATGAGTCAGGAAAGTCTATGCTGGAGGAAATAAAAGCAGTTCCAAATGGCTGGAAGAGAGAAGGTGGTGGGGAATGGGTGAGGAATGAGGCTGGAGAGGCAGCCAGGGGCCAGATCACAGAATCTGGGAGTGAGGGGCTGGGCAGAGTCAGGCAAGATAAGCTAAGGATTTGGAATTTATTGTAACTGCAAGGGAAAGTCATGGAAAGGTTTTAAACAGAAGCCTGGCATGATATAATTTAAATTTCAGGAGGCTGACTTTGTCTGCAGGGTGGACACTGGTTGCTGAGCAAGTGTGGAGACAGAGAAGCCAGAAAATAGGTCAGTGTGGTAGCAATGAAAGAACGGTGGATCGGGAGACCAGACTAGGCTGCTGGCAGTGGGAATGAACAAGCGAACAGACTTGACATTTGAGAGAGAAATGAACAGGATTTAGTGATTGGATGAGAGGAGTTAATTGTGACTGTCAGGCCTCTTTCTTGGCTGACCACTAAATGAAATCAGAATGACTAAGAAGAAGTTTGGGGGATGTGATGAAGTTTAAGGTCTCAGGGATTGAGTGCAATGGCACGTCGGAGCCAACTGTTGGCATCCCCGCTGGACTGCATTCGGTAAAGTCTGATTGATAGCTTGAAATCCACCATAGTGGGAGTATTTACAGCAAAGAAACTGACTCATGCTTCAAATCAGAGCCTTCCCTCTCCTCCACATCAATCCAGTTGGCAAACATTGACTATCACTACTAGATTGGGATATTCTTGATACCCCAAAATGGGCTTAAAAACATCTTGCTCCAGACTTGACTTTCTTAAGAGAGAAAAGCAGCTGTTAAGGGAAAGACATTCAAGACAAATTAAAACTTGACTGATCGAAATATTTGGAGGAACAATCAGAATAATTGGAAGAGTACAAGAAAAACTAAAAAATATTAAATAGAGCAATTGTGGGCAACTGTGCCCAACAATTTCAAATAAGAAGCAAATACACCCCCTTGTTTATGTGCAAGGATTTTTAGGACCCAGCCATACCCCAGCATCCTTCCTTGGCTTTCTTGGTCAAGCACTATTTCTCCCACCCAACCAGAGCCTGTGAAAAGGCATGAGCAGGAGTAAGATATGAGGTGGGAGAGAGTATCCACACACAACAGTGGAGGCTGGAAATGTCTCGTAAATGAATAAATGGATGAGAGTAAGCAGGGTGGTGGAGGAAGAGAAGAGGTCTGGGTTCAATCGCATCTTCCTGGCCGCATAATGCTGCCTCTGCCTTTTAAGGGGAGGGGGGGCGAGAGGCAGGAGGGTGTTTCCTGGGCTTGAGCCAGGAAAAAGAAAAGTCAGAAATGGAGCTAATGGTGGAAAATGGGGGGACCAGTTGAGAAAAAAGTCACAGTCATTTTGAGCTGAAAGAAATCCCAATGATTAAATCACCCCCATTTCACAGGTGCAATGACAGGGAACCAAGAAAAATGAAAGAAAATGTTAGTGAGTGCTTACCCTCTGCCATTACATGTTCACGTACTCTTGTGTCCCTTTTTAATCCTCTCTACATTCCTGTCCAGTCCTGTTGCTAGTTCTGTTTCACAGATGAGGAAACGGACCAGAACAGACCTGACCTGACCTGGCCCCTCACTCACTCACAAGGGTCAGGCACTGTGATCTGACCCCTGTCTGCCTCTCCAGCCTCACTCCCCACCCGTTCCCCTCTTGCTCTCCTCCTTCCAGCCATTCGGAACTGCTTTTATTTCCTCCCACATGCCAAGCACCTTCCTGACTCAGGGCCTGCCTTCTTGGAGGCACTGCTTCCTCTACCTGCTTCATCATCGCTCCTCTCCCGTCCTTACCCAGCCATCAACCGACTGATGGATGCTAAGCATAAGCAACTGATAAGACATCCACATGGAGCTGTCCTGGGTCCACAGGTCTGGGGCTCACAGGGGAAGGTACAGATTTGGGAAGCATCACATTTGCAGAGGCTAGTCTACCCTTTCCTTCCTATATAGTAAAGTCTTTTCTGTTGCACCTCCAAGACTGATCCTAAAGTAAGTCACGAATACAATCATTTCCAATGAAAAAGAACAGGAGAAAGGAGAATGAGTTTTCTTCCTCAAGGTCACACACTGTGAACAAATGAATGAATGAGCAAACGTCAGCTAAGGAAAGGAATCAGCAGTGAGTTGGTTACTTTGCTGGTAACAGTGGGTGGTTAGAAAAGGGACCGCTGTGATGCTTACCTTACTATGCCAGAGGGCAGAATGAAAAGGGCCCCAACTTTCAAGCCAGATGGACCCAGGATAAATACTTAAAAGTTCCTGCCATGCTAAGTTTCCTCAGCCTAAAATGAAAATCATAATGGCTCCCAGAAAAGATTGCTCTGAGGTCTGAATAAGACTGAGAGAAAAATTTATAATAATAAAATAAATAAGACTGAGAGTCTACACAATGGCTGAAACGAAGTTGGCTTTCAACAGGGTTTTCTTTCTTGTTCTTTCAATGATTCACTGTGAGACTGTGTGAGAACTGGGCATAGACTGCCTTTTCACTGTTGCAAAGTAGAGAGAGATAGAGGGAGGGGGAAAATGTATCAGTGATTGCTTAAACAGATACTCGATACTAGACAGAAATTTTTTTAACCTATTGGAGATTTATTTGTTTTCAAGAATATGGAATGATCTTTTCTTTGTAAGATATGAAGGTACCTAGTACCAATATGTCGGAGAAGGCAATGGCACCTCACTCCAGTGCTCTTGCCTGAAAAATCCTATGGACGGAGGAAACTGGTAGGCTGCAGTTCATGGGGTTGCTAAGAGTTGGACACAACTAAGCGACTTCACTATCACTTTTCATTTTTATGCACTGGAGAAGGAAATGGCAACCCACTCCAGTGTTCTTGCCTGGAGAATCCCAGGGACGGGGTGGCCTGGTGGGCTGCCATCTGTGGGGTCGCACAGAGTCGGACACAATTGAAGCAACTTAGCCGCAGCAGCAGTATCAATATGTAGAGTGGTAATTTCCAATTGCACAGACTCTTGTAGTCTTACAAAGTATCATCATTACACCCAGTTTTGGTAGTTCTCATAGGGCTAGAAGCCCAACGTGGAACTCAAATGCTTTCAGACAAAGTGACCTGATTTTTTATTTAGAAAATATGGTCACCATTAACTATTGTGTTAATGAAATGGGCCCCTCCACACCCAGCCACAAAATACTCTGCTCATTTTTATTTGAGTCCTGAGATTCAGGTTGACTGTTATTTTTAGTTTATTTAATCAAACACTTCTATAGCACTTACAATCTGCTGGGCAGTTGGAAGAGCTATACAAATATGTATTCAGAGAATCCTCTTAAAAACAATATTAAGCAGGTATTGTTTTTAAAAGCCCTTGACTGCATGGATCACAACAAACTGTGGGAAATTCTTAAAGAGATGAGAATACCAGACCACTTTACCTGCCTCCTGAGAAACCTGAATGTAGGTCAAGAAGCAACAGCTAGAATAGGACATGGAACGATGGACTGGTTTCAAATTGGGAAAGGAGTACATCAGGGCTGTATATTGTCACCCTGCTTATAACCTCTATGCAGAGTACATCATGTGAAATGCCAGGCTGGATGAAGCAAAGCTGGATCTTGTTTTAACCCTGTTTTGCAGACAGGCATGAAAAGATTAACTGACTAATTAGGTAGTGACACTGGATTTGAACTCAGTCTGACTCTTCACCACTGCTTCTTACTTGGCTTGTATGTGGGTGCTCAGTTACTGAGTCATGTCCAACTCTTTGCGACCCCATGAACTGTAGGTTGCCAGGCTCCTCTGTCCATGGGATTTCCCAGGCAAGAATGCTGGAGTGGGTTACCATTTCCTTTTCCAGGGTATCTTCCCAACCCAGGGTTTAAACCTGCATCTCTTGAGTCTCCTGCTTTGGCAGGCAGATTCTTTATCACTGAGCCATCTAGGAAACCCCTTCAGATTTGGCTTGCTATATGGTATAAGGT